CAACCTCAGAATAAAGTAGGAGGCCTTACCCTTCTCACAGAGTCAAAGTAACTCTGTTCTCTAAATAAAAATATTCTGGGGCGCCTGGGTGGCTCAGTTGGTTAAGCGGCTGCCTTCGGCTCAGGTCATGATCCTGGAGTCCCTGGATCGAGTCCCGCATCAGGCTCCCGGCTCAGCGGGGAGCTTGCTTCTCCCTCTGACCCTCTCCCCTCTCATGCTGTTTCTCGTTCGCTCTCTAATAAATAAATAAGTAAATAAAAAATAAAAATATTCTGGTATTTGCAAGTGTCCTAACTGGTTACTTGACAACATTCCCTTTTCTTTGTAAATAGTTTTTTTTTTTTTAAATTACATATTGAATACTATGCAGGAATATCTATAACCTGTAATGCATAAAGAACAACAGTAACATGAACACATGAACACCCATCTCCCAACTCCCAGCTTGAGAACAGGATAATGTAGACCCTCCTCGATCCTGTCCTACCTGCACCACAAGGGAACTTCTGAACTTGTATTTATCATCCTCTTGCTTTTCTTTATAGCTTTTCTTCATCTTTATAACAAAGAGCTGTTTTTTAGTTTTGCATGGTTTTGAATATTATGTAAATGCAACCATCCTATGTGGATTCTCTGCAGATGGCTTTTATCCATGCTGAGATTCATCCATAGCAATGTATGTGGCTGTGGTTCATCTCTTGGTTTTTAAAATTTTTCTGGCATTCGTTCCTCTTTTGTTAAGGTGTGTTATTGCTTTGTAGTTTTGGTTGTGTCATTAAGGATCTATGCCAGCCTGTTATTATTGTACACCTTCATGTACGTTTTATATATATTTATCTTATTTATATTGTCCACTGGTCATTAAGTATTTTTCCCTGCTATTTATTCCCTCCCATTCACTCCCCTTAACATGTGGGTCTTGGGCCCAACAACCTCTCACGGGCTCACTTTCTTCCTCTGTGATTACAACATTCAGAGGCAGGAAAAGAGAGAGGTTCCCCCCAGGTGTGTTTTAAAACCTCTCTGAGGCCCCTCAGAAACTTCCCTTACATCTCTTTGCCATTCTTGAACCAATCACTGGCGAGAGCAATATAATTATCACAGCCGAGGCTAACAAGATGGGGCCCTATCCAGCTTCCCCTGAAGCATATGGCCTCCCAAAGTGCACGCTAAGGCAACACGCTCTCAGAAAGAAGTGGAACAAGAGGAAAGGGGCACTTGGCACACAACCCTACTGACCTCATAGGATTATGGTGCAGATGAAATGAGGTAAGATAAGCAAAAGATAAACAAATGATGTAAGAAAAAACAGAAAAATATAAGGCATTATTAGATTGAGAATCTTAAAGTATAAAATGTTATTTCCTAACAAACTACTAGCTTAGCAGTTTTCAAGAATAACTACGAACAACATTAAAATTAATATTTGTACAGGCGGCTGATTTCAACAACGATCATCTAGGATACAGTGGAAACTGGAGTCTAGGAGAGGAAAGAAAGACCCTATACTTTCTGGGGCTTTAATGTTGTAATAGAAAGTTGCTGGCATTCTATTAGATTTGCTGAGGTGCTAGACTAAATTTCCTGTTCTTTGTGACTTAGGAAAAAGAAAGCTTAGGAAAGAATTTCATACGATATTTAAGACGCTTAGGTTTTTATAAAGGAGTATCTTTCCTTATAAACTTGTCAAATTATTTTAAAAATCAGCTTTGAGTTTAGATTTTCGCTTCTTTTTTTGACAAATATTGTCTTGAACAAGAACTTTGATGACAGGATTCATCCATTCGACGTCTTCTAGGACAGATTACACTGGCCAAATAATTTGAGCAAATTAAAAGCATTGTATTACAGTAATTCTGTAATTATTAACCGATAATCAAAAGATCATTATATTAAGTATAATAAACTTTCTAAAATATTTATATTGTTTTCCATCTCTTGATGAAGTTAGGACTTTATTTAGCAGCAAGATATGATTTAAATATCTGATTTGTGTTAACCTGTAAATATATATCTGCTGAGAGGGACTCTATATTGTGGCAAAAGACATTTTTTACACATTTCTTTTACTTTTACTCAGAACTGAGCTTTTGGACTTAATAGTGTTATTACCAATTTTATAAATCCACAAGGCATTTTGAAGCAAGAATGGAAATAATATAAACAAATTTATAATAGAGTTTCATAAAAAGCAGTAGCTGGGAATGAGGGATTGTGGTAAAATTGAGCAAAATTACATATGCTGTATCCATTTAAAATTGGAGATCATAAAGAGAAATAAAATCTCCTCTCTAAGGTCCATAGTTCTTTTTTTTTTTTTTTTAATGGAGAGAGGAGGTAGAGAAAAAGAATTCTAGACAGAGGAAAGATCCTGAGCAATGGTGAGAAGGTGAGAGAAGACAATAGATGTTAAAGCACAAGCAGGTGAGTGTTGCTGAGCACAAAGTCCGAGGTAGTGTGTAATGGAAGAAGAGCCTAGAGACTCCAGCAGGGGCCGGTGATGAAGTCCTAGTATGAGACAGGGGAGCCAGAAGAGCTGGAAGAGGTCAGGATAGGGTAGAGAGGAGATTCCTGCTGGATCGAGTTTCCTAGTAGGACAATGGGTGATAGAGTGAAGATTCCAGGTGGTGGACTCTCTGGGGCATGGTTGCAAGAGAGCTTGGTGAGCTTGAGCAGGTGCCTTTAATCTTCTCATTTACAGAGCACAGTTTTCCGAATTATAGTATACTTCCATATGGTAATCATCTTAAGTGGTATGTGGATGAACATTTTTAATAGTTGTGTTATAGAAAAAATATCTCACATAGCACAGCTGAGACCTTCTGGATGTAATTAGACATTTTAATGACTTAAAGAAAAACATTCAGTGATAGTCCCAGAGTCAATGATTAGGGCAGAAGTCATGAAGGTGCCATGTGAATGATGGAGGTTGTGGAACCTGGATGTAAGAGGCGAAGGGAGAGGAGAGAGCTCAGGAAGCTTTGGGGGCTTGGGGGATGCGGTGAAGGTTTAAAGTAGCCACTGAAATGGTGGGCCATGGAGTTCTAGGACAATGGAAGAATTCATAGAGAGTGTTATGGGCCTGCTGAGGCTAGAGATGTACTGACATGGGTAATCCAGCCAGTCTTCATGATTGTGAGATCTGTCCCAGCAGTGCAGCCACCTGTAGTGAGGACTGATCCTGGATCCCAGGATGGGGTTTTGCTGGGAGACCTTGAACAGAGGTTGGAGATGCAGAGGAATTGAGGGAAACTCTGAAAATTGATCCAAGTGATCAAACATCTAGTGCAATCCCACTTCTGGATGTATTTGCGACACTGATCCAGGAAACTGGCCTGTGGGACCCACTATCCGTTAACACTGGGCATGGATATCTTTTTTCTGGCAGCCTAGCAAATGCCTGACTGGAAGGGTCTGGAAAATACCGCCATCAGAGCCATGGGTGGCTATGCTCAGATCCGGGTTCTTGGGGCTCACCCTGGACATTTGAGCACCCGGGCACCCCTGGGTTGGGAACAGAAAAATCACTCAAAACAGAAGCAACCCAATTGTACCAGAAATTTGGGATGAAGGCCGCTAGAACTGTGTGATCATTCTGTCACGTTGAACGACAGCAACTGGGTCAGCACGGACTGCTTGTGGGGACCCAGTGATTGCAGTGCTTAAATGTTTGACCCTGCTTCCACCTGGGTGACTGAGCTGCTGCACCCTGGGGTGTCCCTGAACACAGGGGGGATTCCACACCGTGGTGACAAAAATCGCCAACCTCCCTCTTCTCAAAGCCAGATGGACACGTTCGGTTTGCCACTGGTATGATCATTTGCCCGCTGTCTTTGTCCCCTCCGTGGAGGACATTATACCACACCTAGAAGCCCTTATTAAATTCACCCAAGAAGCCCTAAATGATAGTCGGCAAAACCAGTCTTTACTGAACACTGAAATGTGTCTAATGAGAAAAACCGTCCCCCACAATGTCCAAGTCATTATCACATTCTGCCTCGCAAGGAGAAACCTCTGCCATTATCCAAACAGAATATGGTGTGTTCATACATACTAATGTATCATCTTTATTAAATTACACGAGGACACAAGTAAATGCCCCGAGGGATCTAATCCCCAGCCTAGGGGACTTAATAAATCAAAGTTCAGATCCTGGGGCTCTTCATGGAAAAGATTATTACTTACTTTGGGAATCATGATCTTAGTCTGTGTTTTCTCCTGCACATCCTAAATTGTTACTGGTGTATCTGCCTCCAGTGCAGCCAGAGAGCTACCAAAGGAGCCACCCCCATGCAAAGAAAACCCCTTGCTGCGGGCTCCGAGGGGTGTGTAAGACTGGGAGAGATGGTGGGGAGGGCTGCAGTGTTGGAGGACGCGGAGGTCAGGGAGAGGACGCGACCGTGGCTTGCCCCCGAGCTGGATTGGGCCATCACAGGTTGCCCACCCCTCCCCTGTGCTTGGAATGTACCTTTTGCCCACAAGTCCCAAGGTGGGGGCAGTTTTCGAGGGCACAGCCTTGAGAGCACAATGTGGTGTTTAGATCTTCTAGATGGCGAACGAGGCTGAACCCCGTTAAGGGCTCTGTAAACCTTTCAGATTCTGGTAGGCGGGTGCGGAGCCCGGCTGCTCTTCTGGCTGCTGTAGGCAAGACTCCTAAGTAAGCTCCCTCGCTTATTGAAAACTGCCGCCTAGCCGTCTGGAAGGGTCTGCCGCTTCCTTCCATCTCTCCTTCCCCTCCCTGTACCAGGCCAGTTTCAGATTTCACCTGGAAGCTCCCGAGTTTGAAAACCAACACCTAGAACTGTCCTGTTTTGTAGAGGCAGAAAGTAGAATAGCAGTTCCCAGGGCTGAGGGAGTGGGGATGGGCAGTTACCGTGTAATGGGTACGCAGTGAATGTACTTAAATGTGATTGTACTTAATTGTGAATGTACTTAAAGCCATTGAGCTGTACACTTAAAAATGGCTAAAATGGTAAATTTTTCTTCTTTTTTTTTTTAAGTAGGCTTCACGCCCAGCATGAAGCCCAATGTGGGGTTTGAACTCACCACCCTGAGATCAAGAGCTGAGCTGAGAGCAAGAGTCAGATGCTTAACCAACAGAGACATCCAGGTGCCCCTAAAACGGTAAATTTTATGTTATGTCTTACCACAATAAAAAAAAAACAAAAACAACGCCTAGACTTTGTATTAATTCAGTGACAAGTCACCAACATGGTAACATGATACCTGAAGTCTTGTAGACTGTGCCTTTGCCACTCGGCCCTTGATACAGCCCTGCCTGTGCTGAGGGTCTTGAAAGATCTTTCAGTTACTTAACTCTGTCCACTTCTCAATGTCCTCCTCCCTCAGAGGGACTCGGAATTGGGCCTGGGCTGTGTAACAGATACCAGCCTCCATTCTGTAACCCTCCCTTTCTCCTCAGGAGCCTCAGTGCACTCAAAATGTCACCTCTGCATTCTTCTTTAACTATATGTCCTGTCCTTCCCCCCACCTCACTAGAAAAGCCTGGAGACCACATGCCCATCAATTCAAGTAAATAGGCGCCTTTGGGCACAGGGGAGTTGCTTCCTGATTTAGGATACCAATTTCAGCCAGGAAGGACCTACTAGTATAATAAATGAGGTAAATCATATTATTCTGAAATGAACTTTTTACTTTGTGTTTCATCCCCTTACAGGAAGCTAGTGGAAGGGAGGGGCCATTAACTGTGTATGTTCCTAGGGTCTGACACTGTGCCAGACATATAGGAGTAGGTAGTCAGGAAATTTGCACAGCTGAACTGGGGATATTCCTATCAATTAAACCAATTAAGCTAAATTTAGTAACTACTTGTATTAATTATCTATTGCTGTGTAGTAAATTACCTCAAACTTAGTGTTTTAAAACAATACTAATTATATATTACCATTTACAATTTTGCTGGATCAGAAATTCAGGGCTTAGCACAGGAAAGAGGGCTCCATGTTGACGGGCACCACAGGTTGATGACTCGAAGGCTGGGGACTGGAATCATCTGAAGGCTCATTCACTCACACGTCTAGTGCTTGATGTTGGTGTCACCACGTCTGGCTTCTCCATGTGGACTGGGCTTCTTCCCAGTATGGTGGCTGGGCTTCATGGGTAAGCATCCTACGAGAGACGGGGGGGGGGAGGGTGCGCAGGAGCCATATATTTCCTTATATGACAGCCTCAGAAGTTACACAGCATCATTTTTGCAACTTTTGGGACAGTCACAAGGCATGCCTAGATTCAAGAAAAGGAAACAGACCCCAGTGGAGGCGTGTCAGTCTTACTTGGTAAGAAGAACCTGGGGATGGATCACGTTAAATGTGGCCATCTTTGGAACATCCATTTGCCACAGAGCCTATAATGTGTCAGGCACTGCGTTGATGCCTTTCTCTAGGCTTTTCTTTAGAATATCTATCTAAGTTCTTTCAGATACTTGAATAGAGGTCAATGATAGCAGCATTCTTTTGTTCTTGTTCTTCTACTTCATATTCTCTGAAGTCTAAAAATGCAGAATATAATTGGTCATCTTTCTCATGGTTCAAGGTTGATTTACTTATTAACTTGTTTGCTTGGCAAGTATTTATTGAGCACCAGGTGCCAGGCACTAAAGTTAGGTGCTAAGGAGAGATGTGAACAAAACAGATGTGGTTTTTGCCCACACAAAAACCTGTGTGGTTTTTGTGGTCTGGTTGGTGATGGAAGAAAGCACTGTAGCCATCATTTCATTTATGTGCAGAATGTCAGATAATAGAATCATAGATTGACAAGGATATAAAAGATTTTCCTGAGGGCCACCCTTCTTTCTTGTAGGCCATGTTGACCAGATGGTTGACCATTCTAATTGTAAATCTATCCAGGTTATAAGAGGACATTTCTGATGGTAAAGCCTAATGGCAATTTAAGCTCATTTTTCTCTTGTCTGGTTTTCTGTCAACCACAGAAGTGCTCAGTTCTCTTCTTACAAAAACTTGGTATATATTAATTATTATCAAGTCGCTTATTAGCTCTTCCCTTTTCTGGCTAAACTTCCTCAACTTTTAAACTTTTCCTCATAGGGCTATGGTCTGTTCTTTAATCATTTTATTATTTTGTCTTCTCTCTGTAGGGAATCTCAAACTGTACACAGGATTTTGAATAAAGCCAAGAAGCCACAGGAGTGAAGAGATAACGTGTGGGCTACAAAGGTGTTTCTGTGAGCACACACTGATTATGCTGACTTTTAATGTGACACGACATTGCTTGTCTGTATCTTAGGATTCATTGACTCTTCTATTCCCCTCCTTTGTAATGTGAGTTCCAGGTCATATTTGTAACTTTGCTCTAGTTTGTGCGTTGTTCTTAAATGACCATGTTTAACACCACCATCAGAATTAACAATTTACCAATTGAAATAGGCTCTGGGATCTTACTTTCTTATTTTGATACCTTAAATATTTTTAGCATCCTTTCTGACCTAGGATTGAATGTTTGAACCTATATGTTTAGACACACCAGTTCTAAATACCCTTGGACCTGGTTTCATTCATTCTGCAAATATTGAGTACCTACAATATGCCAAGCAGCTTTGAGAGGTGCGTGGGGGGTCTAATGCCCGGCAAAAGCTAGCTGGGTGCCTATTATTACCATCTTACGTTAGTATGGTGCATTCATCACCATAGATGTACCAGTACTGGTACCTTTTCATTGAAATCCATGATTTATTCAGATTTCCTGAATTTTCACCTAATGTCCTCTCTCTGTTCCAGCATTCCATCTAGAATACCACATTACATTTAGTCATCATGTCTCCTTAGGCTTCTCTAGGCTGTGACCGTTTCTCAGATTTTCCTTGTGTTTGATGACCTGGAAAATTTTGAGGAGTACTGTTCAGGTGTTTGTAGAGGGTCCCTCAATTGGAATTTGCCTAGTGTTTTTCTCATGATTAGACTGGGGTTATGGGTTTGGGGGAGGAAGACTATGGAGGTAAAGTGCCATTCTCATCACATGTGCTATCAACATGACTTATCGCTGTTGGCATTGACCTTGATCGCTTGCCTGAGGTTTTGTTTAGGTTCTTCATCGTGAAGAACACCATTCCACGCCATCCTCTCTGGAAAGAAGTTACTATGCACAGCCCACACTCAAAGAGCAGGGAGTTAGGTTTCACCTCCTTGAAGGTAGAGTGTCTCAGTAAATTATTTGGAATTTTTCCGCATCATAGATTTGTCTTTTCTCCCCTAGAAAGTTTATTTTAATAGCTAGCTTTGTTGTTAGTTAGCCATGTGACCTCCGGCAAGTCGCTTTCTCTTGATGAGTTTGCTTCCTTATCTTTAAAATCTGTCTTCTTCATATACATTCTTGAGACACGGTAGACCAAAATCCTTTGTGCTTTATGAACTGTGACTATACGAAGGTCTTGGTAATTGTTTCTGTAACTTCGGATTTCTTGTCCCCCGGGACAGCTTTCCTGAAGGATTTCTGTGTTGTGCTTTCCCCCCGGGCTCTCAGTGCAATGGCCACTGGCCAGGGGGTAGCGGGGGGGACCTGAGGCCTCAGGGGGCAGTTGCTGGTCGGGACGCAACCACAGGCCCGAGTAGGGAGTTCTGCTTACCTTAACTTGCATTCTTTCCCTTCCTGCCAGGGAAGCTCCTCATCTGTGGTGATTGCTGTGGTTAAGATTACCCAATATAGCTGTTTTAAGCCTTTTCACCAGGTCAGAGTTATGAGGAAGAGAAGGACTTTTTCTAATCAGGTAACTCGAAGAGAGTCCAGAGCATTTTGGTCCAAGGATTTCAGTAGCCTACTTGGTACTCCTTGCCTACTCTTTTGGGCTTCCTCTCTTTCTTTGCTTCTCCCTCAGACTCTCTTAGCAGTATTTTTGGTTTCAGTTTTGTGCAAGTTCCTAACACATTTGCAGGTTGTGATTAGGCTGATTGTCTTCAGAAAAGACACTTGAAAGTCAGGTTCAAACACGGCACACGCACGTTCTTTGCAGAGGCTGTTAAGCTTGTTGACTGGAAGCCGGCCTGCCAGAACAAGATCCTTCTGCGAACACCAGGAACAATCTGCTATTGTCTCCTGGGATAAAACGGTGCCAAGAAAGAACGAAAACTCTGAGCCAAGAGGAGGAATACCGCATTAACTGCTTCACCACTAAAAGTCCTCATGAGAAGGGAGAGAGAGAGGGGGTAACACCCTCTCCTTTGTGTTTAGCTTGCCAGGACCCACAGAGCCCAGATGTGACCAGAGCAAGGCCTGTCATGTGTCCTGGTACAGGGGAGAAAATGGTTCGCTCCTGTGTGTGAACCCACGTCAGGTCTGAGCCCTACCTTCCTCCTGTGTGTGCTCGATGCTGCCGGGGGAGTGAGCAGGGCGCCCCCTCAGTTTCCTTTCCCCTTGATTGTCTCAGTTCCAGAAGCTGTTACCTCAGGTACAGGCCTGGGCCAGGGCTTCGGGGGAAGGCAAGGGGAGTGTGCATAGCTTTAAGGGCACTTTAGGGAAGGGGATAAAATGCAGCGTCCATGGAGGGAACTCAGGAAGGAGAAATGAAAGGGGAAAAGACCAAAGAAAATACACTGAACTAGGTAATGGGGAAGCTTGTCTTAGTTTTATTAATTTTTTAATTTGTGACTTAATGAGCATGGGGGCAGGAAAAATTAGGGGCAGGGGGCTAAAATTCTCCAAGCCCCCTCTTCCATGTTCTCCCCTAGACTCTGACGAATAAAAGTAAAGGGATCTTAATTAAATCTATGTGGGACCTCCATTTTCTTCCTTCCTAGAGTCTGTCAGCGTCTGATCCCTACTGTAATGCATAGGAAACGCTCTGGTGATATTCGGAGCCCCCTGTTCCTCAGCTGACCACTAGGCCGGGCCACCCTAACTCCTGTCCTCACACAGAGTTCAGCTTTACCTGAAAAATTCAAAGACTGTGCAATAATTCAAGACTGTGGGCGTTTTGGGGAGGTACAGGTTTCAGGCGAGTTATCACCAAGGGGGGACGGACGAGCCTCTGGGTCAGCGGTCAGACTTCGTGCCCATTATTCAAGGTCTCTCCACACAGACAATGTCTTCAGAGGAGAAGCCCATTTCTGAATTACCAAGATTCCCGGCCAGGTCCCATTCTAGTTTCAGGCACGACGAATTTGTCTGTGACACTCGATGAACTCTCTGCGGCAGAGAGGGGAGGGAAAGTCTGTCTTTGTTTTAAAACTTGGGTCTGATCATTTCCATACCTGAATCACAACTGTGTCTGATTCTATGAGGATTTTTAAATCGTAGTTCTCTCTGTGGGTGTGTCTGATAATCATCCGAGGAAGGTTTGTGCAAAATTGTAGAGGGTCTAGATGATACTCTCTTTCTTCAGAGAGATGTTGTTTCGCTTTCGGAAGGCTGTGAGTAGAGGAGCAGATCACCTTCATCCAATAGGAGGGACACTGATTTGAGCCTGAGTCTCCACCTTTAAGGCTCTGACTCTTAAGGGTTTGCCCTTACTTCTCAGGTATAGAAGTTTCAGATGAAACCCTGGAGTGTTTGCCTGGGCACTTCCACTTGGGCGACCCTGAACTCTATTTTTCCTCCTTAGCACTGTGAGGCTGTCAATAGCTCTGCTTAGTGTTTCAGCCTCTTAGCAAGCACTTTCTGGAGGCATCTCTCTCCCTTGGCCTGCACCACAGACAAATGGATGGCTGTCCAAGAGGAAATGTGGCTCAGACCATCGGGCTTGTTTTCCTGTGGATCCCTTCCCTCCAGGATCCTGGTTTCTCGATCATCCTGAACTCCCATTTTTGACTCTCCGGTTCCATAAGCCTGCTCAAAGTTTTGTTCCATTTCTCTGCAGCTCAGAAACCACTTTCTGCCCACCCTCTTCATGAACTTTTCTTCTTTCAAGGATCTTGACCCTCTCAAGTAGTTAGTTTCATAGTTCTTCAACACCATTAAATAGCTGTGTGTGTGTGTGGTCCTGCTTGTCTGGTTTTTCTAAGTAGAGTTAGTCTGCTGTAAGCCAGATAACAAAGTCCTGCCCTTGTTTTAAATGTCACTGATGGAAAGTGTTCTGAAGTTTCCTTTTCTTCTGCCTTGTTTTGAGTCTTTTGTTTTAACCCAGGGAACCAAAAAGGTACTTGTTTGACTTATAGTTTACTTATGTGCTATGTCTCATATTTGGGATTGTGTTTGTGTTTCTCAAGGACAGGAGCTCATATTTCTTGCTTCTCCCATTATGACTTACAGAGTAGGTACTCTAGAAAAACTGGCCAGTAAGTGGATTTGATAGTTACCATCTTCCTGGCAAGAAATCCCCCCTCTACCCCTCCAGGAATCCAGCTGAATCATTCAGGGTGTCAGCCAGACAGAGATTTCCTGCCTGAGATAGGACAGACCATCTGCATCCCACTTGAGGCAGAGGAGAAAGGAAGCCAAAAGACAGATCACACCAATTTCTTCAGCTGTATAATGAATAGGATGATTCTAGACAATATCAAAATTTCTTCAGACCCTAATAGTTTGTGACCCTGTTAGCGAACCCACCGTTATTCTTTGGTCCCTTTAGTGAGGAGTTTGTTAAAGACAGTGCCCATCTGCACCTGTGTTTCCTCAGGCCACGCCCATGCTCAGTGATACTGTTAGAAGAGAGACTGTAGTCTGCGTGCTGATTTTTCCATTAACTCTGTCTCCCGCTGTATTCGTTTCCCAGGTTTGCCATAACAAATGGCCATGGACTTGGTGGCTTAAAACAAATAAATTTATTCTGTCATAGTTTCGGAGGCCAGAAAGTCTGAAATCTGGGTTTCAGTGGGGTTGGTTCCTTCTGGAAGCTCTGAGGGAAAACTGTCCCACGCCTCTCTCTTGGTTTCTGGGGGCTGCTGGTAATTCTTGGCATTCCCTGGCTTGTTGCTACACCACTCCAATCTCTGCCGCCATCTTCCCATCACTGTCTTCTTTCTGTGTCTCCCTGTGTCTGCTCCTCTTATGAGGACACCAAACATAGCATTTAGGGCCCACCTTAAATCCAGGTTGACTTAATCTCAAAATCCTTGGTTACATCTACAAAGACCCTATTTCTACATTCTGAGGTTCTGGGTAGGCTTGAATTTTTGGAGAACACTAGTCAACCCACTGTAACTGCCAAAATCAATCAAACAAGAAACTTGATGAAGGCTGTAATTATGTATGTCTTGTTCACTGAGGTATCCTCAATGCCTAATTGAAGGCATTGAATGTTTGTTAAATAAATGAATGAAAAAGGTTGAAATAGGGCCTAGATGGTAGGAACTCAATACATATGGCCAGCTACATTCAAATTAAGATGTCATTCACGGGCTAATCTAGAGTGCTTGCTTTTTATGAGTTTTCAATGTATTTATATAAGTTATATGCCTCGGTGGGTGGTTGGAAATGCAATCAATTAGTGAAAATTGTAT